TATTTAGTTGAATCTTTAAAAAGTTTGTAATTATATGGTTTCAAACGTAAAGTGTTCATTTTCTGTGCATTTCTTTTTGAGATGCCCAGAGAGGCATTATTTATAATGTTATATAATCAAGAGGCTTACATATGAACATATTGACATGGGTGTAGAGTTGAGCCTGTATACATAACAACATACATGTTGTTATGTTATGTTATTATAGCTACCATGCTGTCACTCTATTAATGCACCACACCGCTACCTCCACTGCACTAAAAGTTATACAATAAATTCTACGATCCTAATTTTGTATCATGATGGAGACCGGTGTCCATACAAAACATTTACTAGGTTGCCGTTTGGTGTGAGCAATAGCGAACAGCACGCACACTCCTTTGCCCCGTCAACCTATATCTAATCTATTTAAAGAGTGACAACCATAATACACATCGAATTAGGATTCCTTTAAATATCAAATTGATTTATTGTAAACTTGTTTACTCTGTAATAAATGGCATAAAATTGAAATTTTTCTTTAACTGATTTCTAGGTCAATCAAATTCCATTGACGGATCAATATAATGAATAACCACTTAATCGTCAAGGATTGGATGACATGATCTGATTTCTTTCGGCGCTGAATCAGATTCATAACTCAAGGTCGGCCACCAATTTGTTGTCAAATAGTATATTATATATTATATACAGGGTGGGCCAAAAGTCAGTGGGCATACGTTGGCCTTAATAGCTCCACCATGTTTTATATTTGAAAGCTGTTGCTTTGCAGATGGCATACTGTACTTACTGGTTCGAGGATTCCGTCGTCAAAATTTGAAAATTCGAATATTTTAGACCACGCCCATTCAATATTGAAACACCTATACTGTTTTCTCTGAACATGCTGAATGCCTAATTTTTTCAGAGACATATTAAAGAATATTAAATGTTGCATATAATGATCTGAAAACATGAGGCAAAACAGATTAGAAATGACGAAGTTATCAAGCATTTTCTGTATCTCGTTAACAAAATTGACTGGGTGATTATGTGACACCGTGACACGACACCTTAATTGGGCACCCTTAACAATTCCCATAATGTTTAACGGGATGGTTAACGGGTTCACTTAATCACGTGATTAGGTAAACCAATCACCTGATCACACCTAATGAATAAACTCGTTATGCTTCATATCTCGGTCATCTGAGAAGCTACAGTTCTAATTTTTTAAGGAAAAACGTAATTCGAATGTCCAAACACAATTCAATAAAATTTAGTTCGATCAACTATCCAAACTATCAAATAAATGTAAAAATGAACCTTCATTTGAAAAAAAATTGACAAATTCCTCGAACCAGTGGTGGTAGTAAGTCATACCAGAAAGAATTATTTCAATCGGGCAATCAGTGACTGAGCTATTAAGGCCAACGTATGCCCACTGACTTTTGGCCCACCCTGTACTATTTGACAAAAAATCGGTGGCCAATTTTTTGATTTAACTATATACACAATAAGTTAAATCAAGTGATGCAATTGGCAGAGCACAATCGTAAATCCTGACCAATAAATATCATCTATCCCTCTTAGCCCTTCTCCTCAGGTATCAGGTTCAGAATAAAACAAATATTATTTTTCAGAATAAAACAAATATTATATTCAAATCTCTCTATTCAACAATATTAAATCATTATAGAACCTAATTTGTGGCTTGATCGTTATGTTAGGGCTATTCTGTTAGCTGATGCTGACAGGCACCGCATGGGGCAGAGACTTAGGACCATTACGCTGGAGGCTTACAATGACCCTTTTTGAACCCCATGGCAGTGCTAGTTTTATTATGGTAAAGATTGTAAATCGAAGTTATGAAAACGATCAAGTCACTCCTGTTTTACACTATCAACAGCTACTTAAAACAACCTAGATTGTACAACTCACTTTGAGGATTAAACTGTTAAGTGATGAGTGATTGGGCTCATTAAACATTTTAGTAGCGGAGACATGCGGATCAGCTTCTTGAGGTTCTAGTATTTCATTCAGACAAGAAGTTTTACTTTTTCAAATTTAGTTGTTCAAGCTGCCTGAGTTCAGAAAGTTTGCCAAAGGGCCCAGGTATTCTTGTCACCTTTACCCTGAGACGAGAGAATGACTTTTTTACCTTTGATTTGAATACACCATGAGTGATTTCAAGGTCGTTCAGTGCCAACATCTGACGGAATGAATTCCAGAGGCAACTAGATTTGTAAACGAAACTGTTTGAGGGCATGGTTGTTATAAGAAGAGTTTCTTTGCCGGGTCTTTTAGACAAACAGAAAAGTTCAAATAGTGCAATTGGTGTTCGATATTTAAAGACTTAAAAAAGTTCATTGCAGCAGTGATACGCGTATAAATTATGCAATGTCATGAGTGATTGACGGGCAAAAATTGGCTTGGTGTGCTCTCTCTCAAAGAATTTGCTCGTAAGTTTCTGTTCACTGATAGGTCTAGTCCTAGCACATGTCATAAATTTATCAAGGTATGCTTTTTTGTCACCAAACATGATACGAACACACTTTTTCTGGGCTACAAATAGTGGTTGAAGTTTATTATTACTTGCACCTCCCCAAACGGTAATGCCATAAGATAGGTGACTTTCAAACAGTGTGTGGTACAGGTCCTTATGGATAGATGATGGAATTTTATCCTTGATCATGTACAGCCTCCCAGAACAGGACGAGAGTTTTCTAACTAGTTTGTCTCTATAGGGATTGAAAGTTAGGCCTTCGTCGACAATTACTCCCAGGAATTTCGTTTCCTGCACCTTTGAGAGAGGTAGGCCGTTGAGGTAAAGTCTATTTTCAATTAATAAAGATTGCTCATCAAGTTTTCTTTTAGCTGTATTGAATTCTATATAGCAACTTTTCTTGGCGTTAACATGTAATTTATTAGCCGATGTGTACTTGTGGACTGATCGTAGGACCCTATTTGCATTATTGTAGGCCTCTGTTCTAGTTTTGGCAACTACAAATATCTGGTGGATTCGTGTAGTGTTTTTGAGTCTCATGATTTGATAGTTCTTTTATTCAAATTTCTGATTGTTTCTGAATAGACTCAGTGATGACAGATTCTATTTATTTCCATTAGAATCTGTCATCACTGAGTCTATTCAGAAACAATCAGAAATTTGAATAAAAGAACTACAAATATGTTAAATGTATCATCAGCAAATAAGACATAGCTAGTGTTATCGAGTTGAGAGTTTGTTAAGTCATTTATGTATATTAAAAACAGGAGAGGCCCAAGGCAGCTCCCCTGTGGAACGCCATAGAGAACAGGAAGTCTGTCTGATACTTCGCCCAGGACGGACACACACTGCTCTCTGTCCGACAAGTAACTTTCCAGTAACTTAAGTGGCACTCCTCTAATCCCATATATTTCAAGTTTCTCAAGCAAAATTGTGTGGTCTATTGTGTCAAAGGCCTTGCTTAGATCAATAAAAATTCCTAGAACATGAAGACCTTGCTTTAGGGCCTTATGGATGTGAAAAACTGAGTAGTTAAGTGCATGTGATGTTGAGTGACTCTTTCGGAATCCGAATTGACTTTCGTGAAGGATTCCTTGACTAACCAAGAAGCTGTAAAGACGTTTGTATATTATCTTTTCAAAAATTTTACCAAAAATTGGAAGTGTGGAAACAGGCCTGTAGTTCTCAATCAGTTCTTCGTTATCTTTTTTGTATATTGGGGTTATTTTACCAAGCTTCAGAACTGACGGAAATATCCCTTGAGATATTAGGCGATTAAATTGAACAACAAGAGTTGGGCTAAGAATACCCGATAGTTTTTTGATAACTCTTATGGGAAAGTCGCTGGCCTTCCCACTCTTCAAGTTGGCTATAATCTCAGAAATTTCATCTTCACTACAGTCATGGAAGTAAATTGAATCGAGAGTTTTTGGTGGCATGAATTCGAGGAAAGAGGGAAGAGGTTCTAAAAGAAGGCCATTATGAGTATTTTCATTCATTTTTGAGGCAATAGAGGCAAAGTACTCATTAAATTTGTTGGCTATCACCCGTCTTTCAACAACAAGACGGTTGAAGGAGACATTGTATATAGGGGCGGCCACTGATTTGAACAGACATCGAGCAGTTGCGAAACGTATCTGTGTGCTGCCCCCAAAAATTGTCCCCCCCAAATATTATTGGTCTTCGAACAACTTTTTTGCTGCTCCCCAACAACTTTTTGCCGCCCCTCTGGATGCAAACAAGACCGAACGTTAAATTGGACAAGATAATACAGTTGGGTGTTTTTCCTTTGAAAAATACCTGAAGTTCGGAAAATGTTGTCCCCTATAATAACGGGGGTAGTGGGGGCAGGTAGTCATTTCGCCACCGCAAACATGTGACTTATCTCAAAATCAAGTTTCACCAATTATACTCCCTCCTCCCCAAGAGCTGCACTACTTTGAGTAAAAACGTTTTTCAATCAGATTAACAGATCCGCCTTAGCATTTAGTAAGGGGCGATCTATTAATTTACATTCAGTATTTTTACTTCTATACAAAGCTGAAAGGTTAAGTCTTTTCTGAGATTCTTAGAGAACACTGATAAGCTCTTTACTACTGCCTCATAGCCGGTGAAATTCAATGATTGCAACACAGTTCAGATCTGGGTACACTACAGCTGTTGTAAAATTAAGGGTACAATATAATGAGCCCATAAGGTATAATTAATATATAGGCCACACGAGATTGGCTTGCTACATTAACATATTTTGGGTAGTTTCTTTCTTGTAGTTAATTTGATTAAATTCAGGATAATTCAGAGAAACAATTCTTCAAACCTTTCATCTTTCAAGTTTTCATGTTAACGATCTTGACTCAGTCCCAATACAAAGAAATTTAATTTGTAGATTCTATGTATAAGTCTAAATCTAACCCTATAACTAAGTAACCACCGATCATTCTTGCTTTGCTAGCACTGTTTTCAATCGTTGGTTAAAATTGCTAGCTAAAATCATCCTATTTCACTTCAAAAATTATGTTAGGGCTTCAAGTCGATCGTCAATTCTTCCTGCAAAGATGGCCAAAATCCAAGGTTAGACATCAATCTTTATTAAATGATTATAAAAATTCGTGATAATTTTGGAGATCGATCTTGAATGTGTCTTACGGTTGTTCCTTAAACACTAAAAAATTAACAAATTTCGTAAAGTAAAGTTCGAAATTAAGATGAATATCATTTTCAGGAGGAACTGTGGTGGAGTTACAAGGAGATGAAATGACCCGGTGAGAATTCCTAAACTGTGCTGTAGTATTATAGATTTGCAGTATTATAGTAGTAGTCACAGAGTGCCAGAGTAATCTCAATAACCTCTCATATTATTTTATTAAAACTGTTTTGCTACCGGTCCTACCGATTGGACATTTTCAAATTCCAGCTTTCCGTGACACAAATTTCACTGTTTTGACTGAATTTTTTTCTTGGATGACCATCTAGCAAGGTCACTGAGGATGGAACAAGACACGATTGAGGTACTGAAAGTTGGATTACTAAAGATCAAGAAAGCTTTGATCTTAACTCAAATAACAAATTCTTTATCAGGATTATTTGGGACGACATCAAGTCGAAGTTGATTCTGCCATTTGTTGACCTCGACATTAAGTACTTCGATCTTGGAATTGAGAAGAGGGACGAAACTGATGATCAAAGTAAGATTTGTTTTATTTCTTATTTTTGTATTTCTCGTTTATTTGACTGTGTTATTCACAGACATATTTGGTTCGTTATAAAGGTGTTTTACGTCTAGATTGTCCAAGTTAAAAACCCAATGATAGCTATCCTCGTTTGATAGCTTTCACTGTAGATAAATCTAGTTTCCCGCATTAACACCTTAACGGGAGAGATTTCAACTTGTTGGCAGTATCAAAGAAGCTCGACACAGTCAGTAGTACTCCATTAACTGAATGTGGTCTACGTGCTTCTTGGGTACTGCAAAATAGTTGAATCATTGATATATGGACAAGAAATCACTCCTATCAACCATAACTTTCTCCTTAATTCGTTCATTGAAGTTTGAAGATATTGGTAAATATCAGTGGCCCTATTAAATGGCACGATGAGGTAAAATTTGTCACACTATGAAACTATATAAATCCTCAATGGTTAGGATAATCGTCTCATCCTCTAGGCAAACTTTGTCAGATAACGATATTTTTATCAGATATAGATATCGTTTAAATTCGGCAGGCAGTGAGTTGTAAACTTTGTCACACTATAAAAACGTGACAGAGTTTACATGGGCCCTTAGCTGCCGTGTTTGACCAAATTTTCGAATTTCCAGTTCATAGGATAGTTCCATATGACTTTTATCTACATATTTAGCTACTTTTTTTGTTAAATGGTATCCATATATTTGTAGAATATCTCAACATGTGTGAAATTGAGCAAATATTAGTGTACCAACTTAAACAGTAAACACCTTATATTACGTACTACGGGTATATGGCCCCCAGAATATAGGTGGCCCCCAAAATATAGGTCATGTTAGTGGATACAGTTCTAACCAAGATAAGCGATACTAATGGGATCTGTTACTGCTAGGTTGGAGTAAAACATGTAACTTATGTTTCTGGATAAAAATTTTGGACATACATGAGGTATTTTGGTATATTTGGTCATGACAGCGAAAGATTTAAACGATGTTGTCATTTTCTAGAGGGGTAAATATGGCGAAAAATTGTCATGACAAAAATCTGTCCAACACATGCCATTAAGACTACTGGTATGAGTATAAGTATTATTTTAAGCTATCTTTTCATCGAGACATCTGCAAACTGACAATTTGGAAAAAAGTTATGGCCACCACAATTTTACGGGCCCCCAGAATATAGGTCTATACGACCCCCAGAATATAGGTTGGTCAAAAACCCTGAACATGCCCAAAACCATGCTTTGGGATGCTCTTCTTGTAGCTACTAGTCTCCTGAACCCACATATCAAGTTTTATCAAAATTGGATAAAAATTGGCCGAGTTATGGGATAAAAACAAAAACCATATGCCCATATTTGGGCATACGCACCAAATTTGATCGATTTTGGTCCATAAATTGGTCAAATATCAATATTTTTGAATGAAACCAACTTTATATGGAAGGTAAGCATATATTACACATTCTCTATGATTATCAGCTCAATATCTAATTAACTGTGGATTCTGTGTTCAAATAATCGCAAAAAATGAACAAAATTGCCCATATCTCAAACTGACTTCGCTCAAAACAATAGAACTCAATAGGGTTTCAATATTTTCACATGAAATTTTCAGAATCAACGTAGAATTGTCTCATGACCTTAAGTTTTGAGACAGAATTTTGAGTTAGGCCTTTAAAAAAATTTGGCGGCCAAAAATGTCTGATTTACAGTCATTGAGGTGCACATTGTATTGATACAGATAAAAACAGCCCCCCTCAATCATATCTAGGGACACTCCTTCAATCTTATTTAAGTATTTAGTTAAGATCCCTACTAAATGAGTGCATGAAAGCTTTTTAACAAGTAAAATTACGGGTATATGGCCCCCAGAATATAGGTTTTAAAAAAAAATAGCGACCAAGATTCTGCATTTTCTCTGTCACCCTGAGCATTAAGGAATGTGGGGTAGTGATGAGAAACAGTTAAAGAACATATGCTGAAGAGATGGCATCATCAAAATGTATGAAGGTGGAGTATTTGAGGACGATTTTTGCATACCTATATTCTGGGGGCCGTAGTTTTTGATTTTTTGCTATTAAGTATACTCTAAACCATTTCAATTTAGTATCTGGAGCCATTGGCATCATCAATACAGTCTCAGCAACATATTCTGACTGCATATAACTGTCTGTGACAATTTTAGAACAACTTAGGAACAGATGTTTGGACCTATATTCTGGGGGCCCTGTTAAAAAATGGTATTTTTACAGGTGAAAAAAAAGTACACTTAAAAACCTAATAATTATTTTCAACTACCCAAGAAACATTTAAAGGGTTATTATGTACATATTTACACCCCTAAACATGCTTAGAAGTAGTTTTAACACCTGTTTCTAAGTGCTCAAAAAGCGACCTATATTCTGGGGGCCATATACCCGTATGGATCAATTAACAATATTTTAACCACACACCGGTCATATTAATTATTATGTGGCAGCCATATGTTAACATCGGCAAAATTCTAACACCTGAACATGGTAAAAATATGTAAATTTCGTCGCAAACAAAATGTTATAACTTTATTTGCTCTTTGTTGGCAAAATAATTAGTTTATCGACATAGGTATGGTGATAAAGTAATATTGTATTCTAATCGAGGTATGATTCTTCAAAAATAGGGGCAAGAAATGTAAATTTCGTCACATCAGTCATTGCATAAGTTAGATAGATTTTCTTTCACATCAACAGTCCTTATTATAGTTGGAATTGATATATGCAGGAAATATAGAAACCCATGCCAATTTTTCATCACATTGAAATTATACTGTTGGGGCAGGAAAAGTGAATTTCGTCACATTTCGGTAACTTAGAAAAAATAAACTCAGCATTGTTAAACTTGAGTTCTAATTTGCTGAACAATAACCAACCAATAATTCCTGGAAGAATATTGAATTCTAATCGAGGTATGGTTCTTCAAAATAGGGTCAAGAAATGTAAATTTCGTCACATACGTCATTGCATAAGTTAGATACATTGCTTCTAAATTTAACATATTTACGATTTCGTATCATTTAGCGACAATGTTAACATCAACTGCTCTTAACTTGAATCAACTGTATCCGTGTATCGTCCTTATATAGAGTTTTCCCGCCTTTCAAACCAAAATCAGAAATAAGTGATTTCGGCAATTCACCCAAAATTTCAAATTCCATATATTAACAGAATTTACCTCATTTCCCAATAACCAAGTGCATGTATTGCTAACTTTTCAAAACAACATATTTTAGGGCTATGATTGGTAGAAGAACCATCAAATAATGACTTAATGAGTTGAAAGGTTTTGGGGACACCTCACAGTAGGAAAGAGGTATCGTATTCTGAGTGTGACAAAGTTTACGAAATATTGCCTTAAAACCGTTCGATCCCTGCCCTTTAACCAATGTATCGTATTCTGAGTGTGACAAAGTTTACGAAATATTGCCTTAAAACCGTTCGATCCCTGCCCTTTTACCAATGTTGTATAATGTTGTATCATAATTGTTAGATTGACCTAATCTACTATATTTTAGACCAAAGAATGCTAATTGGGTAGCTATGGTTAACACAGTCACAAAAATGTGACATTTAGTAAATTAGTGTAGGAAGTAAAAACTTGACTTTTATCAAATGCAAATCAATCAACAAAGTATCATTGACAGTGTTGCAGTAACTGATAAGAGCACATTCTGTCAATTATGAGCCCATTTTAAACATCTCATATTGTATTTAACCAACAGAATCTTTGGTAATTCAATATCACGCCACCTCGCCGGCAAAGAATCAGCTTACTGTGTCGTGGTAGTAGAACTTTCGGGGTTGTGTTCAGTCAGTTGCTTATCTTCCTTGGAAACGTGCTGCATAATCCTGCGATGTAGTGTCAAGTAACATTAACTTGAAAGTCTCAAGGGAAAGTTCTCGATTTGTACAAAGGTGCTTTGCATGAACAGCTAAAGTCGGTGGGCTGACTTAGTCAACGTCATTTCCGCGAACATTGAATTTGCCACACTTTCTTTGGAACGCGCGATCATGAGTTTTATAAGAAACTGCACAATGGTACACGCTGTAATTCCGGCGTTTTGAACGCGCGCGCGCGCACTGGCTGGTGCACGTTGATCGGTACGTTCGTTTATACCGGCCCATCGCATCGAAGATTTAATTAGAAGCAGGCATTGTCACCTTTACAGTCATCACGCCATCTGCGGACCACCTCTCTGTGTAGCAGGGTCGGGGGTTTATCCAGTAGAATGCCTACAAATTACCTTTGGTCCATCTTAAGGGTAGGTCAAACAGTTTGGATGTTCAATTATTTCGGGAGTGTGACAATCCTAACAGCAATTGTCAAATGGTGATTTTACCGCATCTGAAGCCTTCTATGCGAAAACTGTTAAAGGCTGGGGGCTTCGTCGCCATGAACGATATGATCCGAAGGATCACAAATACACAATCTAATTGGAGGAAGCAACAGCCGCGGTATTTGGTAGTCACATTCTCGATAAATCGGTATGTCCGGTAAATGAGGGGTTTACTGTCTTACTTATTTACTGGCTGTTCTTCAGAATGTATTTTGTTTGTTTGTTTGCTGTTCCCAGTAACTCAACTGTCTGTGAATCACGGAGTACTTCCTCAATGGTTAATAGATTAAAGAGAATACAATAAACACGAGTCTGACTAGAGCTTGCCTAGAGTCTGCCAGGAGTCTGCCAGGAGTCTGCCTAGAGTGTATCAAGGTACGTCCGTAACTACTCAATCGCCGTATTGATCTAGTTCTCAGAAGACAACTCACGGGTCTTAGTCACAAGTTTACTGGTGCAAGCTAGGAAACCAATTATTATTTGCTACAAGCTTTATTGATCTGGTTGCAATGTTTTTACTCAGATATTTTATTTTTGATTTGTTCGCTGTGACAGCTTTAGGAGGTAAGATATGTATATTTGTGATCCTAATAATGTTTGAAGCGGTGAAAAGGTCTAAAACAACGC